ATATTACTATTGTTAGAGTATATTGTTATGTCCTGTTTCTTTTTCAAAGATTTATTTATTTATTTGAAATGCAGAGTTACAGAGAGGCAGAATGAAAGTGAGAGAGAGAGAGAGAGAGAGGTCTTCTATCCACTTGTTCACTCCCCAGATGGCTGCAAAGGCCAGAGCTGCACCGATCTGAAGCCAGGAGCCAGGAGCCAGGAACTTCTTCCAGGTCTCCCATGCAGGTGCGGAGGCCCAAGCACTTGGGCCATCCTCTACTGCCTTCCCAGGCGACAGCAGAGAGCTGAATCAGAAGTGGAGCAGCCGGGTCCCGAACTGGCACCCATATGGGATGCCGGCACTGTAAGCAACGGCTTTACCCTCTATACCACAGCACTGGGCCCTGTCCTGTTTCATTATCAGTTATTCAGTTATTGTTGTTAAGCCCCGCCTGTGCCTAACTGATAAATTAACTTTATCAAAGGGATGTGTGTAGTAGATATAGGGTCCAATACTATCTGCAAATTCAGGCATTCATTGAGGGGCTTGGCATGTATCTCCTGGGGATGAGAGAGGCTGTTATTACTGGGCGAGTTGTGTGGTGAATCTTAGAGCCATAGCTAGTCATTTTGGGGCTAACCCATGAGGACAAATCCTGAAGCTGTACTGCTTTTTAGCACCTCTCCCCTACCCCTCATTTTGGTAGAGTGTAAAACTTTATTTCTCTGACAATGTGCCATTGCCAACCTCTCAGTTGAATTTTCACTCTCATTGTGTATACACCAGAATGACGCTATGCAAGAAGACTAGGTTCTGAAGTAGCATTAAAGGTGAGAATCTATTACAGATTGTCTACTCTGAAGTCTCAATTTGCCCGTTTCATACAGCATACATAGTTTACAGCATTGGCATATAAGAATGTGTATATAGCTAAGACTGAGTGAGCAGCATTTAAGTTTCCAATGCTGTATCTTTAAATATTAGCATCTCAGAAACAGGATTTAGGAGATAAGAGGGAATGAAGATGGATTCAGGGCAGAGTAGATCACATCTCCTGTCTCCTACTTACTCTGAGCAACACTTGTTTGTTGAGTGAAATGATTGGCAGAATTGCCACATAACTGGAAAACTTCCTCTCTCTCCTCCTCTCTCTTTACCCCTACCCTTCATCTTTCTCTCCTACTCTTCTCCTCTCGGTGGGTATCACTGAATTTGTATGAGTTACATTCACGTGTGCTATCATTTTACCAATGTTTCCTAAATGCCAGCTTAAATCAATGACTGTCATTGTGAAATACAGTCACGTGTTACCAAGAGGAACTGTCCTGAGAGATGCCTCATTAGGCAATCGGCAGCAATTGCAAACACAAGTTCACTTACACACCTAGATGATACCAGTCCACTTCTCAACCTGGCTGATAGAGAGACCCAGTAAGCAGGAACGGTATGTGGTTGCAGCCAGCATCCCATGCACACTGCTTTTAGAGTGAACTTTGTGTTAAAGAACTCAAAACCAGTACACTCTAAAATAATGGTAAAATGTATAATACAGTAATATTTAATCAGCAACATAGTCATTGATTGTCGCTACCAAGTGTGAGGTGCTGTACACTGTGGTGTGTGCTATATGGTTATATAACAGGCTGCTGTGCAGTAGGTGTGTTTACACCAGTATCACACACACACGTGAGCACACAGTTGCTGTGCTAGGACATCATGATGGCCAAGACATCACTAGATGATAGGAAGTTGTCAGATTCACCAGAATCTTATGGGATGACCCTTGTCTATTCAGTCCATGGTCGACCAAGATGTTGTTAATTGGCCGGTGCTGCAGCTCACTAGGCTAATCCTCCACCTGCGGCGCCGGCACCCCAGGTTCTAGTCCTGGTTCTAGTCCTGGTCGGGGCACCGGATTCTGTCCCAGTTGCTCCTCTTCCAGGCCAGCTCTCTGCTGTGTCCCAGGAGTGCAGTGGAGGATGGCCCAAGTGCTTGGGCCCTGCACCCACATGGGAGACCAGGAGAAGCACCTGGCTCCTGGCTTCAGATCAGCGCAGCGCGCTGGCCGTAGCGGCTATTGGAGGGTGAACCAACGGCAAAAGGAAGACCTTTCTCTCTGTCTCTCTCTCTCACTGTTCACTCTGCCTGTCAAAAAAGAAAAAAAGAAAAGAAAAGAAAAAAAAAAGATGTTGTTAATTGGTAGATTACTGTATGAGAGGACTTCAAAAATTCACAGAAATTGGAATTAAAAGATAAGCAAAATATTTTGAAATCTGTACATACATTTTTTTAAAGATTTGTTTTATTTATTTGAAAGGGTTACAGAGAGAGGTAGAGCCAGAAAGAAAGAGAGGTCTTCCATTCACTGGTTCACTCCCCAGATGGCCGCAACAGCCAGAGCTGAGTGGATCTGAAGCCAGGAGCCAGGAGCTTCTTCCAGTCTCCCATGTGGGTGCAGGGCCCACGGACTTGGGCCATCTTCCACTGCTATCCCAGGCCGCAGCAGAGAGCTGGATGGGAAGTGGATCAGCCGGGACTTGAAACAGCACCTGTATTACCTATATGGGATGCTGGCACTGCAGGCTGGGGCTTTAGCACACTGTGCCCCAGTGCTGGCCCCCGTACATACATTTTTACAATAGAGTTTCTCATGAACTTTTCTTTTTTTTTGACAGGCAGAGTTAGCAGTGAGAGAGAGAGAGACAGAGAGAAAGGTCTTCCTTTTCCGTTGGTTCACCCCACAATGGCCGCTGCAGCTGACGCACCACGCTGATCCGAAGCCAGGAGCCAGGTGCTTCTCCTGGTCTCCCGTGGGGTGCAGGGCCCAAGGACTTGGGCCATCCTCCACTGCACTCCCAGGCCACAGCAGAGAGCTGGACTGGAAGAGGAGCAACTGGGACAGAATCCGGTGCCCCGACCAGGACTAGAACCAGGACTAGAACCTGGGGTGCCAGAGCCACAGGTGGAGGATTAGCCTAGTGAGCCGCGGCGCTGGCCCTCTCATGAGCTTTTTGAAGACTCCTTACATAAGAAAAGGAAAAGGGAAGATGGCCACTTTTTTGGTGCTCATTATCAGGAAACACATGGATGGACTTCATGTTTCTGTTGGAAGAACCAACCTGTCACAGAAGATGGGTTGATTATTAACGCTAAATTAGTAATTGACATGGGGATACCAATTTGTTTTGCCAATGTTTTACCTATTTACCTTTTAGGGAAAAGGGCAGGTGTTCTAGTCAGGGAGGCACTGCTCAAGAAAAGCTCTAACTATGAGCAGGTGGAACACTTATTAACAAACATCTAGTGGGGGCCACTGTTGTGGCATGGCCAATTAAGCCACATACAGCCTGCAACACTGGCATCCCATACTGAGTGCCAGTTTGAGTTGTGGATGCCCCACTTCCAACCCAGCTCCCTGCTAGTGCACCTGGGAAGGCAGCACAAGATGGCCCAGTGCTTGGGCCCCTGCCACCCACATAGGAGATCGGGATAGGATTCCAAGCTTCTGGTTTTGGCCTGGGTTGATGCTGCTTTGGCCATTTGGAGAGTGAAGCAGCGGGTGGAAGATCTCTTTCTTTTCTGTCTCTCCCTCTCTTTCTGTCATTCTGCCTTTCAAATAAATAAATAAAAAAGTCTTCAAAAGAAAAAGCTTCTGGGGAAGGTTCTGGAACTTATACAGTTGAGTATTATGTAATGGGGTCTGTTTCACCAGATCACCTGTCAGCGGCTGCCTCCTAGTTACCCCAAAGCCTCAGTCCTGTATGGCAAGGTGTGATGGCAGCAGCCAGGGCAGGGAACTTCAAGTAAGTCAAGGACCAGGAGAAATCCCGTTCTGGAAAAATCGTCTCTGAAGCTAACTAACGTCCATGGGGGCTGAGTAGCTATTTAGTTGCTCCCAGATCCATTTCTCATGTTCTGCTGCCCTGAATTTTATTGCATGGAGCTGACCTCATAGGCTGTATTCCCAGTGTATCTTGCCAAATGTTTTACAGCCCGGATTAGCCATGGAGAGTGATCAGAAGGCAGAAGAAAGAGAGAAACCAACCAGAGTGTTTCTCTCCCTCATTTGCTGCTTAGGATAACAGATCTGAGGGTAGCTGAGTCTCCTCTGTGGTTCGAGCTCTTGCTGGGCAGTCCCTCCTGCTAGACCACCCCAGCCCTGGGCGCTGGAGATACCACCTCACCCATAGCAGGGCAAGTGGCTGCCTGCCAATGCTAACCTTTGTGTCACATTTAAAACACATTCATGTATGTGTTTCTTAAATTTTTATAATTAAAAAAAAAAACTTAAGACACAAAATTTGTATGTATTGATAGTATACAGCATGCATGATATTTTGATACATTTATAAATCATGGAATGACTATATCAAGCTAATTAACATGTACTACCTCAAATACTTAACATTTTTTAGCTCTTCTAACATCTTTACAGCAAGATTCCATATTCTTTCTATTAAAAGTGCATTTTATTTTAAAAGGCAGAGAGAGAGAGAGAGAAAGGGAGAGGGAGCTCTTTCATCCTCTGGTTCACTCCCAACCACCTACAACAGTCAAAGCTGGGCCAGGCCTAAGTCAGGAACCTGGAACTCCATCTGGGTCTTCCACATGAGGTATAAGGCCTCAAGTACTTGAGCTACTGCCTACTGCTTCCCAGGCACACCAACCAGAAGTCATATTGGAAGTGAAGTAGCTGGAACTTGAACCAGGCACTCAGGTATGGGATGTGAGCCACCCAAAGTGGTCGGCTTAACCAGCTGCACCACAATGCCTGCCCCAAATTTTCTCTGCTACCTGATGAGAATTGTGTTTTGCGGTTGTTAGTTGCTTTAAATAGATTTTGACTAATGCCTGCGCAAGTTCCAGCTTCCATTGTGAATCTCGTCCTCTGGGTTTAAGCAAACCTGTGCTCTTCGTGTACATCTTTCTGTTGTTTTCTGGTCCCCGTTGGGTCCCAATGTCCCAATCATTCTGCAGTGGCTTCGATGCGCCCTCCCCTCACATCTTCATCTTTGCAGGTGCAGGACATCGTTTGGAGTGTGAGATACTGGATCATACAACCAGAAGAGTTCTTTAATGCTTGACCCAACTTCCTGCGTTCACCAGTGAGGACCCTGACTCCTGGAATGGTAAAGACTTCTACAAGGTCACTAAGTTAATGGCAGGGAGTGGGGAAGGAAGGGAGTTTCCATATTCATATGGTGGTATCACTTTATTTGCTCTAACATGTGACAGGGACTGGAGATGTAAAGACTGAAATATTGATTAACTGGTGACCTTCCTCAATGCCTGGCCTTTGCCATCATGGAGATACACTGAGTGGACAGAAATATTAATTTATCAATTCAACTCATATTTATTGATTGTCATGAAGGACAAGGCTTAATGCTGAAGTCTTTGGGAAGGACACATATAAATAGGAAATGACCCGTGTTCTTGAGAGGCTCTCTAGGAGGGAGTATGGCATGTTTAGCAACGATCCACATGTATACCGTCTGTTACATACAAGAGAGAAAAATATAACTTCACAAGAAAGGTGCAAATAAAGTGTTATTTGCATATGGAGGAGAAAGTTGCTTCCTGCAGTATTACATAATTCCAGGACCCAGTGAAGCAAAAAGCACACACAATATTTGACCACAAAGAGGTATTGGGAAAGGCATTCATGAGGCAAGATCAAAAGAAGGTCAAGAGTGGGCGGTTCCAAAGCGGACTGCCTGAGGGTGGATGGCAGTAACAGTGGTAACCGTCAGAGCTCACGTCTCCCGGACTCCTACTACACACCCAGTGCTGTGCTGAGAGTGTTACGTGCGTTGTCGTTTCTTTCTGGTAGGTGGAGAAGGTTCAGAGAGATTATACGACTTTCCAAAGACACCCAAATAGCAAATGGTGGAGAGAGGATCCCCTGTGAGTCTGGTGATTCCAGGTAGAGTTCTTAGTCACTGAGCCAAAGGGAAGCTCCCAAGAGAGGCAAGGGAGCCACATTTAGGTGTCAGGGTGTGAATAACACCTGCGGGACTGAGATCTCAGAGAAGTCGTTGGGAAAAATGAAAAAGACCTAGAAAAAATAAATTAGGCCCTGAAAGAATAAATTAGTGTCACCTCACTAGAACAGAGATCCTAAGATGTTTTTGATCCAATATCTCTGTAGTTTTAAAAAAGTCATATTCTTTCAATACACTAGATAAAGATAAAATAAAAATAATTTAGAAGTGTAAGGTTTGTTTATTAACAACCCAAAAGGTCATTTTTTACTTTCACTGAAAAAGAGCTTTTGAATATTTATCATTAAGCTTAATATAGATTTTTAAATTCTGACTTGGTCACCAGATGAGTTTAAGCACAGAAACTTTGGAGATGTTTGCTTTCAAGTTCTGTATGTTTTTCTTATTTTTAGGATTACTAATTGATATATATATATATGTATATTTATTTTTTGCAGCTCAAAAACGGAACCACTGCAGAGCATAACCTGCTTCCACGTCTTCCTTGCTGTAGGACCACGTCCCTAACAGGCCTGTGTGTGTGGTGGCTCCCAGATCTTCAGGAAGCCGCTCCAGCACTCACGTAGGCCCACACCCTGTGCACGGCTGCAAACTCTCTTGCTCTTCTTTTATCTTGATGTCTTATTAATCATGATTTCATTCCATCACTAACTATTATCTCAAGTCAGAGTAGATACATTTTTTAAATATTTATTTGAAAGAGAGAGAGAAATCTTCCATCTGCTGGTTCACTCCCCAAATGGCTACAACAGCTAGGGCTGGGCTAGGAGAAGCCAGGAGCCCGGAACCCCATCTGGGTCTCCCCCATTGGTGACAGGTGCCCAAGCACTTAGGCCGTCTTCCACTGCTTTCCCAGGGAGCACTAGCAGCATTAGCAGGGAGCTGGACAGGAAGTGGAGCAGCCGGGATTCCAGCTTAACTCGCTGTGCCATAGTGCCAGCCCCCAGTGTTTGTCACTAGTGACATGCATAGAAGTCCTTTTTTTTTTAAAGGAAATAACCTTGAGAGCTTTTATTAAAATTGGCTTTTTGAAAGTGAAATCTTCAGTTTTTTTTTTTTTTCCCACTTTGTAGGGTGAGTGATGAGGAGCTTGTCCATGGAGAGAGCAGTTTCAGTCCTGCCACATTCCTACTGTGTCCTCGGGTTGCAGTATTTCCAGCCTGTGGTTTCTTTCTGTGAATCTTTTATCATTTTTTCAATGATTGGAGAGCCAATTTAGTTAAGGTTACATATTGTAGTGCCCCAGTCCACTTAACTAGGCACAAGCAAACAAAATCCTCTAAAATGCTGGAAGCAAACTGTGGGGAGCAACTCGGACTAGACTAAGTTACTGGAATTAAGACTTATTCTATGCATCTGCTCTCCCACAATATGGCGCTGAGAAGGGAGAAACAGCTTCTACACAGCTGCCTCCAGTTCAACCAATAAACTGTAGGACCTGCTCCTGATTGGAGGAGAGCAGCGTACTCGGCGTGTGGGTAGCAGAGTTGGGATTGGTGGAAGAGGACTATAAAGGAGGAGAGAGACAACATGCACCAGGAACATCTAAGGGGAACACCTGAGGAACACCTGTGCAGCCCCTGAGAGAGCCGGCCAGCGGTGTGCCGCTTCCCCGCGGAAGTGGGGAAAGTGGCAGGGGGAACCGCCCTTCCACGGAGGTGGAAGGGACGGTAGCCAACCCGGGAAGAACCAGCAGCAAACCCGGGGAGGGCCGAGCAGACAAAAGAACAGCGCAGGGTCCTGTGTCGTTCCTCCACGAAGAGGGGGAGCGACAGCAAACCAAGGGCTGAGGACAGATACAATCCTCAACCTTGCTGGGTGCTGGGACATTTTTGTTTTGCTCAGAAAGCCTCACCTATCTTCAGTTTTGCAGTTTGCGTGAAAACTCTAGGTTAGTCTAGATATAAAACATTTGTCAAGATGAATTAATTTATTTTAAAAATAAAAACATGTAGTGCTGGCCCTATGGTTGAATAATTGAAAAATCCTGTAGGCTTCTTGTATGTTGAATAATCTCAACTATATTCCTTGCCCACTTCTTCATGTGATTTAGGCTTCTATAGAAAACTATGGAAGGAGGAGTAGACAAAAGTATTCAGATAATGTCATTTCCCTAGCAAAGTCTGAGGAGTGACTCATTATCCCTGTAAAAATTCTCCCGGAGTTCCTTTGGGTGTGACGGACTAAATGGTGCTCTAGGAGGAAGATGGCGTTTCACATGTATAAATATTCATCATTTCTATATATTAGGGTTGGAGAACTCAAACATTTACAGGAAATTAAATTCTATTTTCATTAGAACTCCCCTGTTCAGAATCCTTAACTTGGATAGCCCTGACATTTAAATTGGAATCTTCCCCTGTCTTCATTCTGTTGACCAAAGTAATACTGGGAAAGTACAGGAATCATCTGTTTACCAGAGTGATACCTATCCATATCCAACTATGCTAAATCAACCTCCAAAGCCTAGTGGTTGAGATTCCTACCTCCCATAATAAGGCCACCAGGTTCAATTCCTGCTGGCATGGTCGTTTTTTCAATTAAATTTCCATTAACTTTTCGCCTCTGTGTCATTAGACACTAATTCTTAAGCGCTGCAAAGATGAAAGAGTAAGAGGGGTCTTCTGATTCATGCATCACGTTGCTGTCAAGTGAAATGTGACGATGACAACTTTTTAATGTGAGAGACAGGGAAGCCAGCAAGGGGACAGGTCTTTTAGACCTGACACTGACCATGGTAGCTGCAATATGGGGAAGGTGATTTGAAAGATAGTGGTCATACAGGGAAGGCATTCAGGATTTGAAACACTGAACCTCAGGCAAGGAGCTGAGACCCTGGAGGAGGAGGGACCCGACTGGCTTGTTGTGTGGAGAGGAGACGGAGGAGTGTTGGGTGTTCGGAGCTAGCTGTTGGGAATGGAGGAAGACAGGTACTTCCACTAAAGGCAAGAACAGATGGGGAGCTTAGAGTGACCCACTTGACCAACGTGCATATTCTTAGATGCCGTAAGGCTCAAGCAGCAGGATGTGAAAGAGCAAGTGCCAGAGACCAGTTGTTGTGCTTAAGCACAGAAGTGGTAAGATGTATAGATCATGAGAAATGGGTAGAGCCTACAATTTTACAAGTAGGCAAGTAAGGAAAGGATAGAAAGGCAAAAGCCAATCAAACACAACACCAAAATGTGTTTGTGAATCGGAGGTGTGCAGAAATGCTAATAGTTGATAGACAGGAAGGCCAGCTCAAGACGAGTTTTATAGAAGAGACCGTGTTCTTTCATGTTTTTGTGAAAGTGAGTAAGTCGTTTTTTAGAGTTTTGCTACATAAATATTAGCCAAAAGAGCCAAGAGAGACAGAGAAAAAGGTCTTCCTTCCATTGGTTCACCCCCCAAATGGCCGCTATGACTGGAGCTACACCCATCTGAAGCCAGGAGCCAGGTGCTTCCTCCTGGTCTCCCATATAGGTGCAGGCGCCCAAGCACGTGGGCCATCCTCCACTGCCTTCCCGGGCCACAGCAGAGAGCTGTACTGGAAGAGGAGCAGCCAGGTCTAGAACTGGTGCCCATATGGGATGCTGGAGCCGCAGGTGGAGGATTAACCAAGTGAGCCACAGCGCCATCCCCGTACTTTCATTTTTTTTTTTTTAAGATTTATTTATTTATTTGAAAGGCAGAGTGACAGAAACAGAGATCTTCTACCTGCTGGTTCACTCCCCAAATGGTTGCAATGGCCAGGACTTAGCCAGATCAATGCTGGGAGCCCAAAACTCCATCTGGGTCTCCCACGTGAGTGGCAGGGGTCCAAGTACCTGGACCACCTTTCACTTCTTTCCCAGATACATTAGCAGGGAGGTGGATCACAAGTGGAGTAGCTGGGACTTGAACCAACCCTCAGATACGGGATGCTGGCATTGCAGGTAGTGTCTTAGCCCACTGCGTCACAACACTGGCCCCTAGAATCAGCTTTTAAATATCTATAACAATGCCTAATATTTATTGGGAGCTACTGTTCCATGCACTATTTAAAATATTGTCCATTTACTGTTGTAAACACTGTGTATCTCAGTTATTCATCACAGTTACTGTATTAGGGAGTTCTCTGTGTCTTCCCAATTCATGGATGAAAATACTAAGGCAAGTTCAGGTTCATAGGGCTGGCATGTGGTAGAGCTAGCAGTGAGAACTCTCTGTTTGTAACTAGCACTCCGTGGAATGACATTTAGTATTATTTCAAAAAGTTTACATCTGGAGTAAGTTTGGCTTTCATATTTTAATGCAGCTTTGCCTGATGCTCTGATAATGTTCACTTCAAAATAAAATAGCAGAATCCAAAACAAACTGCAATAAAGAGGCCGGGCTGGTTCTGGAGGAACTATTCTTTCTTTTTTTTCTTTTATAGAAAGCTTTTAGGCTGGCGCTGTGGCTCAACAGGCTAATCCTCCACCTGCTGCGCTGGCACACCAGGTTCTAGTCCCGGTCTGGGCGCCAGAGTCTGTCCTGGTTGCCCCTCTTCCAGGCCAGCTCTCTGCTATGGCCTGGGAGTGCAGTGGAGGATGGCCCAGGTGCTTGGGCCCTGCACCCCTTGGGAGACCAGGAGAAGCACCTGGCTCCTGCCTTCAGATCAGCGCAGTGTGCCGGCCGCAGCACGCCGGCCATGGCGGCCATTGGAGGGTGAACCAACGGCAAAGGAAGACCTTTCTCTCTGTCTCTCTCTCTCACTGTCCACTCTGCCTGTCCAAAATAAAAAATAAAAATAAAAAAAGAAAGCTTTTATTTAATAAATATAGATTTCATAGGTACAACTTTTGGATTATAGCAGTTCTTACCCTCATACACGTCTTCCCACCCCCAAACCATCCCACCTCCTACTCCTTCTCCCATCTCATTCTTCATTAAGATTCATTTTTAATTATCTTTATATATATAGAAGATCATCTCTATACTAAGTAAAGATTTCAACAGTTTGGACCGCCACACACATACAACATAAAGTACTGTTTGAAGACTAGTTTTACCATTAATTCTAATAGTATAACTATTAAGGACAGAGGTCCTACATGGGGAGCAAGTGCACAGTGACTCCTGTTGTTGATTTAACAACTGACACTCTTATTTATGACGTCAGTAATCGCCCGAGGCTCTTGTCATGAGCTGCCAAGGCTATGGAAGCCTCTTGAGTTCACAAACTCCGACCTTATTTAGACAAGGCCATAGTCAAAGTAGTTCTCTCCTCCCTTCAGAGAAAAGTACCTCCTTCTTTGATGGCCCCTTCTTTCCACTGGGATCCCGCTCACAGAGATCTTTCATTTAGGTCATTTTTTGCCACAGTGTCTTGGCTTTCCACGCCTAAAATGCTCTCATGGGCTTTCTTAGCCAGATCTGAATGTGTTAAGGGCTGATTCTGAGGCCTGAGTGCTGTTTAGGGCCTTTGTCAGTCTATGAGTCTGCTGTGTGGCCTGTTTCCCATGTTGAATGGTTCCCTCCTTTTTAATTCTATCAGTTTCTATTAGCAGACACTTGGTCTTATTTATGTGATCCCTTTGACACTTAATCTTATCTTTATGATTAATTATGAACTTAAACTGATCACTTTAACTAGTAAGATGGCATTGGTACCTGCCAACTTAATGGGATTTGGAGTCCCATGGCAAGTTTTTAGCTTTAGCCTTAAGGGTAAGTGTGAAGGAATGTGTGCTGAACTGTACATCTCCTCCTTCTCTTATTCCCACTCTTATTTTTAACAGGGATCAATTTTCAATTGGATTTAAACACATAAGACCATTCTTTATTTTATTGCTGTAAAACAACCACATCACTTCTTTGAAGGATGCAAAACATAAATTTAAAAGAAATAGGGTTATCTCAGCAAGGTTTCTTTTTAAAGACTTATTTATTTGAAAGGCATAATGAGAGAGGAAGGGGGAAGGGAAGGGATGGGGGAGGGAGGTGAGAGGGAGGGAGAGGAGTGAGAGGGAGAGAGAGATCTTCATCTTCTGGTTCACTGCCTAAATGCAACAGCCAGGGCTGAGCAGGGCAAACCCAGGAGCTTGGAACTGCATCCAGGTCTCCCACATGCAGGGTGCCCAGCAGTTGGGTTGCTTTCCCAGGCGCATTAGCAGGGAGCTGGATTGGAAGCCGAGCAGATGGGACTCAAACCAGCACTTGTATATGGGATTCTGGCATCGCAAGAAGCGGCTTAATCTGCTGTGCTGCAAGGCCATCCACTTGGCAACATTTCTGTTCAATTCTTGATCTCAGTTAATGCCCAACCCTTGCAGTGAGGGTATTCACGGAGTGCTGGAATCTACTTTGAGCCAAGCCTCATTACTTCGATCTATGCATGTTTGAAGGTGTCTGTACCCGGTTTCACGTTAGCCTCTCCTGTGTGGGTTCTGGCATTGCACAGAAACTTTGTCCCACTAAGCTGCGGTGTTGATTTGAAATGCACTTGGTTCCAAGCAACAGAAAATGCAGCTCACGGTAGCTGCAACAAATGAGGATTTCTCTTCCTCCCATGGTGAGAGGTCTGGAGGGAGGCAGCTGTATTGGTTTAGCTGCCTGGCGCGATCAGAGCTGGAGGCTTCATTGTGCTTTTGGCCTTGCCCTCCTGCTTTCGGTATGGCAGCTGCAGCTCCCAACACTCGGGCAGGCAATGTGGGAACAGTCAGCCCCAGCCAAGTCTGCTTTATTGTGAAAGCAAATCTTGAAAGGCCCGGTGCCCTTCTTCCCCGAGGGACTTGGCTAGGACGAGGTCACCCCTGGCTGCAAAGCAGGCTGGGAATGATTTGGGTTGCAGGGACAGGGAAGTTGGATGGGGGTGTGGTCTAGCTAACTCACAGAATTTGTCCAGCACCTTGACAGAGCTTCTAATTGAAGGAATAGTCTGAATTGCAGAATCGCGTAATAATCAAGTAAATTTCAAGCACATGCCATAAATCAAATGGGGCTATCACGTGTTTTCCTTTTGTATATTTTTATGATGTTGGGTTTAATCTCTTAAACATTTGGCCCTAAAATCTTACTTAAAATATTTCATTGCCATGAAGAAGTGACTTTTTTTTAAAAGATTTATTTATTTATTTGAAAGAGTTACACAGAGAGAGGAGAGGCAGAGAGAGAAAGAGACACTCTTCCATCCAATGGTTCACTCCCCAATTGTCCGCAATGGCCAGAGCTGTGCCAATCTGAAGCCAGGAGCCAGGAGCTTCTTCCAAGTCTCCCACATGGGTGCAGGGGCCTAAGGACTTGGGCCATCTTCTACTGCTTTCCCAGCCCATAGCAGAGAGCAGGATTGGAAGTGGAGCAGCCGGGTCTCAAACCGGCACCCATATGGGATGCTGGCGCTTCAGGCAGGGCATTAATCCACTGCACCACAGTGCTGGCCCCATGACTTCTTAAAAAACAATAAAAGGATTTATTTTATTTATTTGAAAGGCAGAGTTATAGAGTTACAGAGAGAGAGAGAGGTCTTTCACCTGCTGGTTCACTCCCCAAGTGACCACAATAGCTGGGGCTGGGCCAGGCTGAAGTAAGGAGCCAGGAGTTTCATCTGGGTCTCCCACGTAGGTGCAGGGACCCAGGCATTTAGGTCATCTTTTGTTGCCTTACCAGGTGTATTAACAGGGAGATGGATCGGAAATGGAGCAGCCAGGACATGAACTGGCGCCATATGGAATACCAGCATTGCAGGCGGCAGCTTTACCTGCCAGCACCAAGAAATGACTTCTTAAGCAAGGGAAAACTTCTGTTCAGACCCTGCCCAAATAATCTCAAATTCCAAAATGTTGATTCCAAACTGGCGAGCATTTACCATATTACAGGTGCTTCAGTAATGTTTGGTTCTGCATCTGTGCTCCCTTGCATGAGGCTGACAGAGCAAAACTAAGATAAAATGACCTTTCCATGGGACTTTGAAAGTTCAAGTTCTTTGTTTCTAGTTAGCATCAACTGTTATTATGTTTCACGTTTACCCACCATCATGCATTCTTGCAAGTGCAAAATATACTGAAAATGAAATTATGCAGTTCAATTTCAAATAGGAAAATTAATACATATGAGCATTACATTTTTGTAAAAATCCAGTCTGTAAAATAAGAGGAAAAGTTAAAATAAATAGTGGAAAACAAAAGGAGAGCAGTAGTAGAGAACAGGGAACTGGGGACTATGCGCTCAATAGCTAACAGTGGGTTTTCTTTGGGGGGTGTTTATGGGATAGTTTGAGAGCAAAAAAGTACTATTAATAATTATCCCAGGATGAGAGACATAAACTGGCACAAATACAGGCAAAGCAGGATGGGTAGTCACCCTAGTTGGACTTGTATTTGCATCCAGGCTCAAAAATTATAGACTCGAAATTATGGGAAAGTTTCATCATTTATTTTCTAAGACATTTGGTTTTGTGCAAGGTTACTTCAAAAAGGTCACAGAAAGCAGAATTAGAAGATCAGTCGGTTTTTATGGAAACGACTTAGAAATCTGTGATCAGTGTTCTTCATCCTATGCATTTCCCCCGGACTTTTTGAAGACGCCACTTAACAGTTTTCTATTATGTGTGTAACTTTCAAAGAGTCAATAACAATTTTTAAAAGTATGGGCAATGTGAAATTTGCATTTAAAAATATTCAGAAACCAAAACCGATTTTGGTTTCCCCAGTTTCACATAGCAGATTGCCAGCTGAGGGCACTTTTGTGCCCTGTATATTGTAGCTATTTTTAGTCATTCATTCAATTCCAGAAACACTTATTAAAATTATAGTATAGATCAGGTATTATATTACTTAATATAATATTTAATGTTTAATCCTAATAATGACCCTGCAAAGTAAGTCTTCTCAGTCCAAGTTCTCAAAAATAATTTACCTCTGGGAGAATAAATGACTCGCCCCGAATCTCATGCTGGATGAACAGTGGAGTTCTCTTCCTTCTTGTGTTGCTATTTGGAATGTTATTATTTAACAAAGGTCATCTTTACTTTTTGAAATATGTGCTTCAAATATGTGATGCCTGGCTCAATGTGTTTTTAAATTACATTTCAGGGCCAAATATATTTCCATAGGAATGTGCCTCTAATTTTATAATGGCATCGATGGGGAAGTAAAAGGGGCTATGTGGAATTTTGCTTTACTGCCGACTTCGTGGGAGAGGTGTAAGAATTACAAGCCTAGGATTTGAAGGTGGAAAAAAGTCAGCAATGCCAGAGCTCTGCTGTTATCAATGTACAGTACTTAAAGGTAGAAAGCACCTTTATTTCTAACAGGGTCTCCGAGACCTTGAACTTGGTCACAGTCGATTCACTGTTAGGAAGTGATGGAAGACGGGCTGCCGCAGGCCTAAAGAGGAGTTTAGTTCTCTACTCAAGGCTCAGAGATGTTGCCATAAAGTAATCTAACTTATAAGACAGTCTAACGCGAAACTTGATTGTAAGAATCCTGTGGCACTTTTTACACATTTAGATGTGAAATGATCAGAAAAAAATTCCAGGTCGGTTTATCGAGTACTGACACTCAGCTGCCCAGAACTGAGTAGCAGCTGCTTAGCCACGTATCACAACATTGCACACCAGCTCGGGACAGGAGGCAAAGACGAATGACGCCGACGGGGCGTGCAGTAGCAGCGCCGTTTGTGTCTTTTTCTTTTTGCCATCCGTCTTGAGTTCCCTGTTGCCTACTCCTTTTAAAAGATTCCACTGAAAATGCAAAAGAGCTCAACCCATTCATTCTCTTTATGTTCACTTAAAATAAAACACCAGAACTGGAATTTGCTACCCGTATTTCATCACTCATGACAATCGAGGCGCCGAGTTATGGTTGGTGAAATTGGTAAGTCTCTGCTTGGCTGTTGTCATAGGAAGAAGGGCCATTTTGGCAATGGGAGAATGTGTTGATCACGAGCGATTCATAGCATCACAGATTCCATACAGAAATGGAGTCCCAGTGGAGATGCATTTTAATCCTTTTGTGGTTCTCAGTTTCCTATGCCTATGATGAAGATTATTGACCTAGATTTGCACAGGAGTGGCTTAATCCATCCAGTTGAATGAAGGCCATGGGAGTTAGATAAAAAGGACATTCTTCCTTTAGGGGTGGCTCTCATTCCAGCTTAAAAAAACAGCCAGTGTTGGTGCCTTCGGCAGTAGTTGTCCAGCAGCCAGAACAACATGACTTTTTATTTTTAAAGATATATTTATTTATTTGAAAGGCAGAATTATAGAGAGAGGGAGAGAGAAAGTGAGAAATAGAGAGGGAGAGAGAGAGATATCTTCCATCCACTTGTTCACTCTCTCAAATGGTCACAATGGCCAGAGCCGGGCTGATCTGAAGCCAGGAGCCAGGAGCTTCTTCCAGGTCTCCTACGTGGGTGCAGGGGCCCAAGCACTTGATCCATCCTCCTCTGCTTTTCCAGGCACATTAGCAGGGAGCTGGATTGGAAGTGGAGCAGCTGGGACTCAAACTGGTGCCCACGTGGGATGCTGGCACTGCAGGTAATGGCTTTACCCAGTATGCCACAATGACTCTTGACACATGACTAATCTACGACAGAATTGAGCAACACCAAGAACCTATTCTTTTATTTGGAAGTAACAGTAGTATTTATGAGCCAAAGTATTTTACCTAACATTTCAAAATGTGTAATATATTTCATTTCATTTCCCAAACTCTTCAAGAGATACGTATTTTTATCTCAACATCACAGTGGAGGAAGCCACACCCCAGAAAGCAGAAAGTCGCTGGTGATGTCTGTCGTCTGACTAAAAATAGTTGACCTAAGTGTGACTTCAAGACGCTGGCCTCTATGTTCACTGTCATCTTCTTTAGACCACCATACAACTCCTTAGCAGCTGGGTTCACACAAGAAATTCTCAGGTGGGGGTGATCAGCTGAAAGGCACACAGGAGACATGAGCCTAGGTT